ATTTACTTTCATGCTGAGATAGTTGAGATAATCTAGGACAATCTAGCATCACTTTCATTCTGGTTTCTGCTGCATTCCTGCAAATTCAAACTGATAGGGGTACACACAGATATGTTCATGTCACTACTGAGAATATCTTCATTGAGGCCCAAATAAATTAAACTTCTTAATAAGTTTGTAAACCTGCCATTAGAGGCAACTTCTAGGATACCCACCTTAAGGTCAGATCAGTGTATCCTGGTAAACTGAAGTGGTCTCCAACCCTTCTATGTATATTGCCATATCTGATATCAGATTGGTGTCCACTGCTTCTGCTCCATAGAGGAAAGCTAAACTCAGATGGAAGTACTCTTCTCTTTTTTGAACTTTGTATTTTTAAGGTAAACTAATGTATTTTAGCAGATGAAAAATATCATATTCACAGGGTTTTCTTATGCAAGTAGTACCCAGAAGTGGTTTTGCCAGTTCTTCCCTCTAAAATATAGCCCACAGCACCTGATATTCTTTGATGATATTCCATCCAAGTACTAATTAGGGCTGACTTTACTCAGCTTCCAAGTTCAGCTGGGATCTGATGATTTTTAAGTACTTTGCCTGTAATTCTCCCCAATGGGTCCAACTGTTTTGAATTATTGCCACAATTTTCATTAGAAACAACAGTTTGACTAGTTTGCAGCTCTTTTGTATTCTATGGTCAGATGAATGAAGTCTAACAATGTTTTCATTTAATTATTGCAGTACCACATAACAAGGAATTTAAAGATACTCATTTACACACAGACTTGCCAGAGCATATGAACGATAACTGAAATAAGTGTTTCCTTTAACTAACCTTGTAACTTCCAGTGGATAGCTCTGACTATAGTAATCATAACATAACTGCCTTGGAAACACATAAAAAACATCTGTATGTGTAAATGGTACAATACATACAGTGTTAATTGACTTTTTCTGTTAAAGGACTTTAAAAAAAAACAGAAGTTACTCCATGATTGGAGTAATTGGAGTTTCTGGAAAAAAAATCATATAGACCAGGAGAGTTGAAAAACACAATGGAAGGAAATAGCTTTCATCAGCCATTTGACTTTTAATGCACTTGGGCCTTGTGCTTGAATAAAACTAGGAGGAACTGTGCCAAAATATTGCAAAAAAGACTAAAACAGATTTTCCAATTCAAGTGTCCTCCACATGCATTGGGTTTTCAATTCTCATTATCCTAAAGCACTATTATTGTCTTAAAACCTGTGCCTTGGTCTAGTTTGAAATTCAGAGCTTGAATGTGAACATAAGGAATAAGAAAGCGGTTTGATTGTGTAGCTATGAAGCAGTTCAGTAGGGTATAATGGCATAAGTTTGAAGACATTTGAACATTTGGACAAAACATGTCTGCTCTAGGAATTATGTAGATCAGTAGTGTCCAACCTGTGGCCCTCTAGGTGTTTTGGAGTTCAGCTTCCAGAATTCCCTACCATTGGACAAACTGACCAGGGCTTCTGGGAGCTGGAATCCTAAACACTTGGAGGACCACTGATCTTGGTCATCCAGGTGATTCTATGGTATGCTTCTTCTGGAGGTTACCACAAAGTCATGTTAGAGCAGTAGTTCTCAACCTGGGGTCCCCAGATGTTTTTGGCCTACAACTCCCAGAAATCTCAGCCAGTTTATCAGCTGTTAGGATTTCTGGAAGTTGTAGGCCAAAAACATCTGGGGACCTCAGGTTAAGAACCACTGTGTTAGAGGATCTAGGAATTTTCTAGAAATTTTCTAGGTCCTCCAGTGTGAAGCTATGGTAACTTCTGGCAGAAGTCATTCATTTCAATAATGTTTGCTGTTATCCACATTTTCCTGCTTCCTTGGTAAGTTTACCCCATGGATGCAGTGGTCATACTGTAAAACAATGTAATGTAATCCAGACAGACTTTTTTAAGCAATGTAATTCAGACAGACATGGATTTGCCCTTATTCAAAGTGGTTGCTACACAGGTTTGTTTATCATAACTCTCACTGCACCTATGAAGATTAGCTCCTATAATTGATTAGCTAACACATTGCAGCTGTTCAACAGGGAAGACAACATTGCATCACCATTCAGTTCACTTCTGCATGGTGTGACAGTAACATTGTGTGTTTATTATGTTCAAGAATCACTGGAGACAATTATACTTAATTTGCTCCTATTATAAGTGTTTTATTCACATTGATAACCCCCGATTCAAATGTATTTAATTTTGGAATGTGTAATACAAAGAGTTTAAAAATGTGAGAATTGTGTGGACAAAGATGACAACCATCCCCCCACACCAGCCAGAAAAAAAACATTCGCATACATGGTGTTGGGATCATCAAGGGCCACAACTTGTTTATTGGTTACAACTGACAAACAGGGTTGGCAGGCATACATGGGTCCTAGATCAAGGTATTGGACAGCCCACTGATCAAGGTATTGAACAGCCACACTAAGAAGAACAATAATAGGAGCAGTGTGAGTCCCCATAATTCTGCCCTGGGAGACCTGGACCGTGGCACCCCCAGCAGCCACACTACAGACCTCCCCCCCCCCCCAGGAAGGGGAGAAAGATCTGTGTACTGGATCCAAGCCAAATGCTCCCAAGTTGTGACAAAGATATAAAGAACAATGCAACCACATAATAACAATAACAAAATAAAAGGTTGGAGGGTGAGGAGAGCTTGAAGGCAACTGAGATGGAGGTCAGGACGCCTCCTTTTATTTGATCAGAAGGAAGAGATCTGATTGGCTGCATACCCCCAGAGCACACATAACTGAGGGCTATCTGGGAAGAAGGAGCCCTGCATAATGGTGGGCAGAGGACAGTGCCTACCACCACAACATGACTTACCAGGCAGGGTATTTGGTGTAGGGTTTTAGAGACTCCAGTAGATAAAGGGTTCCCACTGCATCTGAAATCTCACTGCATGACATTGGGTTAATATTTGTCCCTCATCTTGACCTGAAAAATTGAAGCAAGAATGCTATCATTAAGTTCGCTGAAGAAAAGAAACGATATACTGTGTGTATGCACAGATAAGTCAATGGCATATATAAATTGAGGGCAGGTTTGGGGCCCAAAATTGTGTCATTTGATATGATCCATGGGTATGTTGAGTCATTCAGCAGAAAGGAAAAAAGGCCTGTTGCTTCTGGTTGCTACCACTGCTATTCAAAAAGACCTATTTTTCATACAAACACCACAATTCTGCCATCTGAACTTTGCATCCCTTACCCATTGCATGCTGTAACAGATTGGCCTGGTGTGTAAAGGGTTGGTGTATAAAGGGCTGGATGTAATGGCAGAAGCCATGCCCAGCTTGCTAAAGCTAAGCAGAAATGAGAGGTGCCTTTAGGCAGTCTGTAAGCCAGAAGTGCAGCCTGATTGTCTGATGACATTGGAGAGAAAAGCTCAGTAGCTGGAGATGGATGGAGCCAGAGCCATAGAGAAGAAGACAGCAATCATTTTAAATCAGTTAAGAGATTGGTGGGGAAGAAGAAAGATGGAGAGTTTGGAAGGGAGGAAGGAAGGGAAGGAAGAAAGAAATTTGGGAACTGTTTGTTATAGGAAATAAACCTCTTTGAGGATAATAGTTATTAGGCCTCTATAGTGTTTAGAGTGCTGAAGGGAGGAAGGCAGATTTCAAAAGTTTTTAAAAGATTCCTGTTTGAATTCCTATGTGAGAAACTTTGCTTAAAGAAACTTAAGATAGAAGTATCGTCCTCTGTAATAAGAAAAGCCTGACAAGTTATCTGCAACCATTACACTTATTGACTGTTAAAAAAAAAATCCTGTCTTTGTGTGACTTTATAAACATTCCAGGAAAGGAAGTGGCCTAAAATAACAATAAATTGGTGGCAGTGAAAGAAATTTTTAACAAGTAATTGGAGAAAGTAAAGGCAAAAATATAAGAATACAGTGGAGGCTTCCCACTGTCTAGTTTTGTGTGAGTGAGGGTGTGTGTGCACCCTGGTTCCCTCATGGCCTGGCCTTGGGCCAAGCCTTATTGTTTGCCCTTTGTCCTCCATCTTGTGTGTGTGGTGGTGCCTTGCTTTATTGTAGCAAAGGTTCTGCCTTCCTGCTCCCCATCTGTTTGCTGCAATTTAGTGGCAGTTTGTTATAATTGGGTACTAGTGGTGGGATATCCCAGTTTGCTGGGACATTCTTCATTCACTATATATGCCATTTCCATCTTTCTGTGTCTGGTCTTGTTATCCCATGATTGGTCTTCATAGCAATATCTAGCTTAGATCCTTCTGGGTAACCAGATAATCTTTTAGTCCAGACTTAGTTTTCTTAGACTTTGTTTAAAACAGGAAATATCTAAGAGTACATTATAAGTTCTGATATTACAAATGTGCAATTTTGTCTCCCAGTGTATTTTTCAGTAAGAAAAAGGAAGAATATGGGAAGAGCACTGAGTTTAAGTGCTAGTGGGCATACCATGAGTACTTATTCCCTACATATAGTATTTAATGAAACTCTTCCATAAGTCATTAATATCTCCAATTAGAATATCCTGGGTTCATAAAAGAAAATCACAGCTCCTCTACTGTGCATTATAGAAATACCTTATTTTATTGTTTCCTTTCCTTTAGGGAAGGGCTACTGCAAATAAAAGTAAAAGCAGTTGTGTACAGGCTTTCCTCTGTTGTCAATACAATGTCACAGACAACTGGTAATATATACATTAATATTTAGTTAAAGCAGTTGACATATGGAGAAAGCAACTTATGTTGAAGGAAGTAGCTTTCATGTGAACTTTTTCATATATAGGAATGCAGGATGGGGCCCTCCAGCCACAGAAACATTCTGGAAAACTGTTGTTGAGTTGGATCCAATAACCAGCAGAACACAGAACGGATAAAGTATTGTTCTTGTTTAATTCACTGTCAGGCCAAGGAAATGACGAGAAGGAAATTGTTCTCCCATCTCAGGAACCATGTGGTAATCTAAGATAAGGGAAGCAGTTGCTAATTTGAGTATAAAAGCAGGAAACGTGATACACTGATTTCCTTTCACGAGAACAGAATAATATGAGAGAATATGTAGGAGCATTTTTCTCCAAGTCAAATTTTTAACTTTAGACCTGGTGCTGTACTGTGGAGACAACATATCATCACTTTGACAAGTTTGAATACTATGGATACCAACGGTACTAGTTCTCATGACCAATGGCCACCTAATTTCTGGAGTAAGTATTTATTAATATGTTCTTAAAAAACAAAAATGTGAACAAGAATATTTTACACCATATTCTTGCTGAATTCTTTCTGTTTGATATAATTGTGTATTCCATGCTGCCTTTCCAATTGATTGAATGTTATTGTTATAATACAACTTCGCAATATTTTAGTGAGCAGATTTGCAAAATTACACATTAAATATTTTAATTTTGTTCCCTTACATTCCCTGTGAAGTCTGAAATGTAGGTTCACAATCAAAATATAAATTAGAATGTAAACATATTTTTGACAGGGCAAATTATTGGACAAATTATTAACAAAACTATCTTCAATGAAAGGAATTTTGTGTAGAGATTTTGCCTATCAGAGAAAAAGCAATAACTGGGAACTAAAATGAATGAAATATTTCTTAATAACCTGTTTGGTTTTCTGTGATGGAGCACACTTGCTCTATTTGTGAGCTGCATGCTATCCTCATGTCTGTTATTCTACAACCTGGTATGGTAAACCTCCATTAAATCCATGCAGGGGCTCCATTTATTTATCATTTTAAAGCTCCATTCTATGGGGAAAACCCGGGAACTCTTCCGTGGTGGTAGGAGCTTCATGATCTAGCTATTTCAGCTACTACAGTGTTGTAATGTGAACTGAAGCACTCGGGTTTCACACTGCAGTATACTTAGTAGAGGCCATTAGTGAAGATGGAAATCACCCTCAACACTGTTTTATCATGAGATAATTGCCCTAAAACTATAATTCTCCCAGATTATTTAATAAAACATGGATAGTATTCCTACATCATAACTATATTAAGTTTTCTGGTTTGTGAACTGCTTACTTCTCTGGTAATCCATACTTCAGTATGATGCTTTCTCCCATTTTTGAGGCTTAGGCTGAATCTACACTGGCATATAATGCAGTTCCAAATTGCATGAAATAGCAATGTAGATCTAACCTCTGGCCCGCCTACACTGCTATTTAATTCAGTTTGAAATTGCATTATATGGTCAGTTTAGAGACTCATGTAATGCATTGTAAGTACACTGCATTATAAGAGTCTAGATTGACTATTATGCAATGTAGATGAGTTCCCAGACTACACATCATTCTCCACCCAAGGCTGGATGTACACTGCCATATTATGCAGTTTAAAACTGTATTACATGGTCAGTGTAGACTCATATAGGATCTTGTCACACACACCGTCGGAATTGCCACAGAATCAGTGTTGGACTCAGTGGCCAAACTTGCAAAAACCTGTTGCTGCCACCAGAAATAAACCTGTGTGAATAGGTCCTTAGTGTGGATTTGGGTCAGGGCATAGCCTAGCTGAAAATTTAAAATAGCAATAATCGCATTCACAAAGAGTAGTATTTTTGAGAAAAAAAACAAGTGTATCATATCCTTGAAATATAACCTTGTTAAATGCTAGAATGCTCTTGAAATAGAATATGATAATAAGAAAACCACACCACACACACATTCCTCCAATATTGACTTAATCAAGCAAGATTTGGTATGTTCAGGATGATATGCTTTACTTAAAATAGGTATTGGAGACTACCTTTCAGTCACAATAGATAAAAAGTGTGCACGATGGACAAATATACAATGTATCATGATTTTTGTTCCTGGTTTATAAATGTCATTTCCTAATTTGTTCTATCATAAAAACACAGAAATGTTTATTAAACTGCAAAAATCTTGCTTTTGTGGGACATCCTGCAGCACATTTTGCTATAGTTTTTCAGTGAATATCTCATAGAGTCTCAACTAATTCAACATAGTTTGTGGCAGCCACAAAACAAAGTTTCTGAAGAATAACAACTACTTTCAAAGTAAGCACCACACAATTAAATGGGAAATAATACTTTAAAACAGAGAACAACCCCCCCCCCCCCCCCAATATTCTTACATAGTGCAATTTGATCCATTATAATGTGATTTCCAATGCTATATATGTTAGATCAGAAATGGGGGAAATGTAGCCCCAATACCATATCTGTCCTCTGGCTATTTTTGCAAATCCTCATTTTCTGACAAAAACAGTGGATTGCATTTTTGGAAGCCATTAGGAATGGTGATTTACCTTTAGAATGGAACACATTCCAACCATTATACCATTTAGCATTTTAATCCTCTTTTTTATTATTTTTATCCTTTGTCAATCCATGCAGCTCTTGGAAAGTTTGAAGAGGATAAAATCCTGAAAGAGTTCAAGTTGACCATCCCATATTATATGGTAACTGCTGGAACCAGGCATGTAGCCAGGGGGGGGGGGGGGGCTTGAGGGGCTTCAGCCCCCCCCCCCAAATTCTCATGGTGGTTCGCGAAAAGGCCTTACTGGTGCATTATTTAAACTGTTATGTTTATTCATATCATGATCTGATCACCATACTCAATATATCCCATATGCATGGGGGTATTGGGGTAATGATACAAAAGGTTTGCTAGGCTAGACCCTCTTTCACTCAGACTCAGCCCCCCCGAAACTCAGCCCCCCCCGAACCCCCCCCTGAAAAATCCCCCCCCCCCCCGAAACGAAATCCTGGCTACGGGCCTGGCTGGAACAAAATATATTTTTATCACAATTTCCATTGTATCCATGTTTTCATGGAAACATGCTCATAGTATTCAAGAAAACTTACTCTTAAATGGCTAAGCTTAGGACTGTGTCTTAGGGCATTACAGTCTTGCTTTTGATGATTGTGGAAGTAATGAAAAGGCTGCCAATATCAACTGGGTGGAATAATATTAAGTACTAGCATCCTGTTTCATTCTTATTTTATGCCAATAAAATGTAACATTGCCAACAGTCATTTCTGTTTGTGCCGCAATCAGCATATTATAAATTTGATGGAAATATTTATTCACAGATGGCAGGAAAAGGAAGTGAAAGTTTATTTTATGATGTCAAAAAATAGCTGACTCTTCTTTTCAGCAACATATCCTCCATGTTTCATCTTCATAGGCCATTAGCCACCCCTGCTTTGGATAGAGTTTGGTGATCACATTTCTGATGTTTTTGGTGAATGTTCCTGCAGGATATTTTGTTGATTGCTATGGCTGTTGAATTTCCTTGTTACTAAGGAACACCTGGAACAACTTGGCTCACACCAGACATCCTGCTTGCCAGACTTTGCAAAAACTGCCTTAATTAGTAGCTGCCTAACAACAACAGGAAACCGAAACTTCCATGTAATTTAATTCTCACCATGAGTGGAGTTCATAAATCAAAATCTTTTTTAAAAGTGTATTGTTTTGGGGGGAGAAGTACTTAGTCCTTGATGATATTACTGTATCCTTTTCAGTCTAGTCCTTTGGCTCTATCTATCTATCTATCTATCTATCTATCATCTAAATTTACAAGGATGGATAGGATTTGCTTTCTATGTCTACTTGAAATCTGAGGTCCACTAACTAGTGAGGTGGAAAATAGTATTTCTTGTGTTCGGCAGTTTCAAGCAGTGGCATCACCTTCAGGTAGTCACACCCCAACTCCAGTAATTGGGAGCTGCTGGCAAATCCATCCATTGCTTGTGACCATATTGCAACCCCATCAAAGGGTTATCTTGGCAAGATCAATTTGAAAAGAGTTTGTCTTTGCCTTCCTCTGAGACTGAGAGACTATAACTTGCCTGGTCTCACCTGGTAGGTTACTGTGGACAAGCAAAGATTCAAACCCTTTGAATCCCCATCATGAAATAAGAGACCAGACACAAGATGTGGAGAAATAAATGGGCCATTTATTGACCTAATTATAAACTGAAAAATGAATTGACTAGTTGTGGGGGGAGCACTGCGACATGGGTAATGGTGTGAGGTCAGGTATCTTTCTGGGACCACCTGCCAAACCAACCACTGGACGAAACACCTGACCCCGGGGGCAGTCCACATAGATGGCTTGCTGTCCCGGCCGGTCATTACTGGAAGGCGGTTGGAGGGGACCTCCCCCCCGAGCCATGAAACCCCATAGGGGAGAGGCAACTCCCCCCCCCCAAAGAACGCCCTAAGGAAGATAATTTGGGCACCCCCTAAGCCATAAAGCTCATAGAGATAAACCCAAAATTCCCTTCACCCCCGAATGGAGGTGTGCCAAGGTGTGCAACAATGCCAGGCAGAACCAACTGGTCCTTCACAGGGGGATTCAAGTGCTCCCCTCCAGCCATCCATTGGTTCCTTCTGTCTGGAGGTGCGTGTTTCTTGTTTTAAAATTCTGGTGCTGGATTTATCAGCTGCAGTAGACTTCCAGCAGGGGGCAATATTGTTATGATTTTGCTATAGATAATCCATAAGAACATAAGAAAAAAAAATCTTGCAGTAGAAGTGTGTTCATTTTAAGAATGGGAGAAGACTCTTTTTGAGGCACATTAACTCAACTACTGTGCAAACGGATGAGTGACACCATGTTGAGAAATGTTGATTCTGTTATCACAATGTGTTTTAAATGACAGGTATATGTTTTTTTTTCATTTTAGATCAAATCATAATAGCATTTTCAGTTTCCATGGTCATTGGACTTATAATTGGGGCCATAATCTGGAGCTTGTTGACTTGCCTATCTAGCCGCAGAGCAAGTGCGCACATTTCTCAGTGGAGCACCTCATCTTCTAACAGGCATTTCAGAGCATCCCATGGAAGTGCTGCTACCAGGCCAGGATTTTACCGTAACAGCAGCTGTGAACGCCGGAGCAACCTCAGTTTAGCCAGCCTTACCTTCCAAAGGCAAGCTTCCTTAGAACAAACCAATTCCTACCCTAGGAAATCAAGTTTCCGGGCCTCCACATTTCACCCCTTCCTGCAGTGCTCTCCACTTCCTGTTGAAACAGAAAGCCAACTGATTACTTTGGTGCCTACCAGTACTACCACAACACTCACTGGGAGCAGTACCAACACCCTCTCTCATCCTGACTTCCATTGGTCCAATAACAGCCTTCGTGTTTGCCATTCGACACAGACTCCACCTCCTGCCTATGATTCCATCATAAAGGCTTTCCCAGACTCTTGATTTGGGTTCTTGAACATGGAAAGAATCTTAGTTTTATGAATTTCTATGGGAAAATACAACTAAAGATGGCCTTCACAAAAAGGATTTCTCTGCTTTGAAAACCTTCCTTGTATTGTATATAATGAACTGGAGTACTACACTGTATTTATATTTTGCTTTGCCATTGTTCCCTTTAGTTTAGTTTTTAGGGTTGGGTGGGATGTCCTTGTGGTCTCTTCCAACCCTTTCACAAAAAAAGAAATGGACATCTTACTGAAGACATTAACCTAAGAATAGATGTCCTGGTAGATAGCTGTGGTCACAGTGTGGTTTAGGTTGTTCTTGTCCTTTTTGAGTAGGATTTCACTTTACACAGTGTTGCACTCAGGAATTTTGATTTCTAAAATATTTTCTCTATTGCGTTTTCAAAAAATCTAACTTGGTAATGTCATGGCAAACTGCATCTATAGGAATTTTTAAACAGCTCTCACAGTTTAAAATTTTTCAATATTTGTTTTATTGGTACTGTCCCATTATCTGGACAGAGTCCACTAGGGGCTGCTAGAGTGAGAAGGATACATAAAGGACTATCCCCTCTCTACTGCCCCCTAGCGGCCTCTGCCCAGATAATGGAACAGTACCATATTATCTTTTACAGCAGACATATCTTGATTTCTGTTTTTAGACACGCAAAGGAAAATGTGAACCATAAACCACATGGCATCATTGGGGAAGTTCTGTGGATGATGTGACCCTGCAAGAGCCCCTAAAAAGCCAATGCTGCAGTTACTTACCCATGTTTTAAGGGTACACCCCCTTTAAACTACAGCTTTATTAAGGTTGCAGTCATTGACATACTTACTTGGGTTTGTGTGTACCTCCAAGTTATCTGTTCACTAATTAATTTCATAGGATATTCTTAGGCCAGGAATATTCAGAAGTCATTTATGATTGCCTTTCTCTGAAAGATGGCCTATTCTTTGTAGTACTTTCAAATACTAACCAGGGCTTATTCTGCTTAGTGCTTGTATGCATTACTTAATTACAGAACAGAAGATAGGTAGACTCATCCTTAACCCGCAATTTGTTTTGTGTATTGCAGAGATGAAGGAATGTCGGGAGATGAGTTTTCATTATTTCAATCTACAAAGTCATGTACAAAGACAACAGTTGCATGTAAGCTTCATGGGAGCTACAAGGGAAGGTGGAGAATTTCCCTTTCTCCACAACCAATGTTTTGTTAAAAATCATCATTAAAAAATAATGAATGAGATTTTAGAGTAGAGGGTACTGGGAAAGGTCCACATCTAATTGAAAAATCTAGACCTTTGCAGGTATACAGTCTTCCCTTGCTGTTTCATGGTTCGCTTTATGCGGACTCACAGTTTTGCAGGTTTTTTTAAAAAAGGATTTTAAATACAAGTAATGAGAGAACACTGTTTATCCATCATCAAAGTGTGTTGTTTCTCCAGCATAGATGTTGCCACAGACTTGAGTTGCAGAGTTCTTCACAGACAGGCATGTGTTTGGCTGGCAAAGAGCCTGGAAAGGGCCGCCAAGGCAGTTTCCGCTAGGGCTTCTTCCTTGGAAGCGGGAAGCATCGTCCTGGCTGGTGGAGGCAGTGGGCTGCAAAGGAGGCATGTGTAGCTGACAAAGAGCCCGGAGATGGCCGCCAAGGCAGCTTCTGTCAGGGCTTCTTCCTCAGGTGACCGGGTGAGAGCCTCATGCCAGTGGAGAAGCAGGGAGGGAGGGAGAAGGGTGGCTCCAGCAAGAAGAGGGGGAGGGAGGAAGAAAGGAAAGGGGAAATAGGAGAGGAAGAGAGAGAGGAGGGGGAGAGAGGAGTGGGTGGAGCTATACTGTACATATACAGTATAACGTCCCTACGTCACTCTTTTTCACTTATCACGAGTGGTCCTAGAATATAACCCCCGCGATAAGTGAGGGAACACTGTAGAGGCAGTGGGGATTGTCTCCTGGGATCTCCATTCGGGATCCAAACTAGCAGTCCCACTGCCATCCTTCCTCCCCAGTCTCAGGCAGCCTGGGACAGAGGGATGACAATGCTCTTCCCCCCCCCCCAATTTAACTTTTAAAAACAAAGCCCTCATAGGCTTGGATTATCTTCCTCAGACTAGCAAATGACACTAAAGAAATTTGAAGGAGGAGTCCCCCTCCCCTCTCAAAATTTATTTATTTTTCTCTTAAAAGCTAAACAGGGGGCAGGGAGGGGAGGTCTGATCCCCATGCCCACCCCTGCCTATCACAAATTGGTAGGGGTGGGTAATCTAACCACATTGCAGTCCAAAAAGGTGGGAGTTGGAGATGCCATCTGGCCTCTACAGCAAGTGAAACTGGCATTTAAAATGCTGGCTTCACTTGCATTTTAGGCCTGTGTGGAAGGGTCCTTAGTCTTTTGATCTTCTTTTCCATTGACAATAGAAGGAATTCTGGAAATTAGGGTTTATTTAAAACATTTATTTTTGCCAAAAGTTATGTTGCAAATGGTTTGGAAGAGAAATTATATATGAAATTATTCCATGCATAACACTGATTTCTATGAGTAATGTTACACTATTTTTGTTTTCTGTAATCCATACTGGAGAAATATAGATATATTATAGCATCAATGCTCAAGTTATGGTGTCTGAAATGTTCAAGTTATGATATCTGAAATTCTTTGGCCTATAATCATCCGTGAGATTGGTTGATACAGTATATTGTTTTATAAACCATTTCTGAACTTCATATTATATCAGCATTGTCGAAAAGCTGAAGTTTAAATAAAATCATTAATGACAACATCATTGTTATACCTGAAACATCCACCATTGCTATTTAGAACATACAATCAAATATGAAACACTACTTCTAACACAAATAAGAAAATGTTTCTTTAGTGGGATGTTCCATTTTATTCAACTGGCTTGACCTTGAAGGAGCTGGGGGTGGTGACAGTCAACAGGGAGCTCTGGCGTAGGCTTGTCCATGAGGTCACAAAGAGTGACTGAATGAATAAACAACAACAACCAACTGAAAAGAAAAGACACTCTTTCCCAAGGTCTATTTTTAGACCTAGCTTTTTATGATACTGAGAGTTGTAACCCAACCAAAGGACATTTCCTAAGCCTGGCTTTGAACAGCAACCAAGCTACTGTAGCTACAGTAGCTACATATCCTCTAGTGGAGACCTTTTCAAAAGTTTCATGCTGGTGAAACACTTTTAAGACATACGTACTTTTGTCTATGTCCAAGGTAAATGGTGTAAAATAGAAATTAAATTTCAAAACAGTCTTAAGACTTCCCACTTCTGTGTTCTAGTTAGTTCTAGTGGTCTATGAAGAAATAATGTCATGTTACCATTCAATCTCCAATATGTATGTTTAACTTCCAGTATATATAACATGTATATTTAGGATGTGTTAACCAACTCAGGGACTGCCTGTGTAATATATAAAAGTTTCAGAGTCCATTCTGACAGGCCTTTAAACTCAGAGTATTTTTATCCTTTACAATGTAGTTTGTAAATCGTCTAGAGCATCTTGGATGGAGGACGATTAATAAGTAATTAAATGATGATGATGATGATGATGATGATGACGATGACCAGTCTCAGTTTAACAAGAGGCGTCTAAAAGTATTTATATACATATTCTCAAGTTGAAGGGGGTCATGAACTGAAATAGTTTATGAAGTCATGAATGTTGAACCTGAAATATGCTCTCCAGTTGTATCTTTTGGAATGCTGCCCTTTCTTTGTAAAATGCTTTCAACCAAGTACCTAAAACAATTATTGTTGGTACTTGGTGAAATCAAATATTTTAAATTAATCAGAAAATTCCCACATGTTTTTTACTCCTTTCACCCTCTGTTTTTAACTGTATTTACTGGCAATGTCAACAGATTTCAACAACCCTACAATGCAATGATGCCTGGAAAGCAGTGATGCCATGCAATAAAGGTTAGACAAATTCAGCAATAATCTATCACTATAATGGCATAAAGCATGATGTGATATTGTTCAAAATGCTATAATCAATAGATAATGGGCACAGTCAGGTCCAGTTCCTGACTTGAGAGTTTATGAAGTTACTGTTCACCCATTATGTTTACAATTTTCCAGTCTTGCCTCACAGCTCAGCAGTTTTCTATTTTTATTCATATTTGTTTTTAATAACACTGTAAGCCATCTCAGTACTGGTTAGGAAAAAGATGCTTACAAATACAGAAAGAAAGAAAGAAAGAAAGAAAGAAAGTCTGGGGGCTGTGGGGCCCGGGCGTTCTTCATTGCGCAGGAACAGCAGCGCCTCAGCTGCTTCTGCCTCCTTCCCTGTGTTCCCTTGTCCTTGACGGACAGAGGAGGTAGGGAGGAGGCAGGGCTGTAGCCAGAAAAAAATTTTTTGGGGGGGTTGAAAATTTTGGGGGGGGTGAAAAATTTGGGGGGGGGGGGTGTTGAAACCTGCCTCCTAGCTCATGCTGAAGCAAAGAGCACAGCAGGGGGCAGAGCAGCCTTCAATAGCCTGCAGCTCTGTCCCTGTCAACCACCTCCACCAAGTCTGGCCTCCTTAATGAGAGCATTCAACACTCCCCCCCCCCCTCCTGCAACTTGGTTGCTTCACTACATCGGCTATTGCTGCAAGAAATGACAGTGTGAATAAATTGTCAATATTTGCTTGAGATAGTGCTTGCAGTTCTGGAGGGACTCTTAATTTTTTGCATCTCATAGACTTAGCATGGGGATTTGGTTAACCAGTTAAAATTCATGAGTAAACCAGGTTTTTTTAACCTGAAAATTTTCACGGGGGGGGGGGGGGTTGAACCATAACACCCGCCCCCCGGCTACAGGCCTGGGAGGAGGTGGAGGGAAGGGTTCAGGCAGGTGCCGAGGAGGAGGAAGAGGAGGAGGAAGAGGAGGAGGAAGAGGAGGAGGAAGAGGCCTCACTTGCATCAGATGCTTCTCCCCACAGGTTTTCTCCCCACACATGCTGTTTTCTGCAGTCTCTTCTGAGAGAGGTGGGACAGCTGTTTGGGGTTTTTTTCCCCTCATGCAGGAGGCTGCGGGGCCTCACAATGCTTTAATAATAATAATAATAATAATAATAATAATAATAATAATAATAATTTATTTATATACTGCTCTATAGGGCTGGGCGGTTTCATTTCGTTAATTCGTAATTCGTTAATAATTCGTTAATTTTTTCAATTACAAAACGATAATGAACCATTCTGGAGCAATTATTAAAAAAACGAATTTTCAAAAATGTTTTGTAAATGCTTCGTATTTCGATATTGTATTCGTTTCGTTATTGTTTTGAGGTCGTTTCGTTATTATTTCCGCATGTCTGGGCCAGTTTTATGGTTTAATTAGTGAAAAAAAATTATAATATCACACCAACAGTCAACAACAGAGGGAGAGGGAAGCTTCAGAAGGTTTTGGAGGTTTTTTAGCGTATTTCGCGGTCGCATCCGCCATTAATGAATCGATTCGTTATTGTTTCGGAAATCGATTCGTTAATTTTTTACCATTTACGAAATTTCGTAAATATCGAACTTTTTAAAAGGAAAATTTTGTAATTATTTTAAATATCGAAACAAAAATACCCCCCAAATACAAATCGATTTTAGAAACAAATTTTTCCGTTGTTACCCAGGCCTACTGCTCTATCTCCCCGAGGGGACTCAGAGCGGTTCCCAGGTAAAAATCACAGAACATACAAAGTAAAAACAACATAACCATAAGATCAACAAAACAAAATATGCCATAACATATTGTCGCCATAGCACACATATAATAAAAACAATCCTGCCTGTTCAAGGCAATTACAAAAATTTTTGTAAAGGTCAGGCCAAGATTTGTGCAAGCTCAAAAATTCTAGGTGGCCTGGGAATTAAATGCAATGATATGGCAGGCAACAATAATATTAGGTACGGGTCTGTGGCTGTTCATTCCAGGGTCAACCAGAAGAAATGATCTGGGCAATTGATAGGAAGAATAAGGCTGTATTCGACAATTTATAGAGCTGAGTTAGTACTGGCCATTTTCAAAGGCTTGTTGAAACCACCAGGTCTTCAAGCTCTTACGAAAGGAGGGGAGGGTTG